ACACTTACAGCAGCTCAGTCGAATCGGGTGTGCAATGCTCTGGCTCTAATGCAGTGTATCGCATCACATCGTGATACGCGAAAACAATTTTTGGAAGGTATTTCCTTTTCTGATATATTCAGGGCTCCTATATTAAGATAAAGTACAGAAATACAATTTAAAATTTTCACTGTGAAAGTTAAAATATAAACAAAACTGGAACACCCCCATTGGAATTAAATTTTCGGCACTATATGAAAGGAGGTCGATAATCGTTTTTTTCATTACTTTTTTCATTAACTTTTTTCCTTCCTTAATTATAAATAATGGTCAGTCTTTTCTTCCTCGTTCAATTCCACTCTTTTTACCTGTGGCATATTCAAATGAGGACAGACAAAAACACACACACGGACAGACAAAACACGAGTGTTTTCTGTTCGTGTCCGTTCGTGCTTGTTTGGTGTTTTTCTGTCTGTGTCCGTCCGTGTTTGTCTGTCCGAGTCCGTCCGTCTTTTGTCCGTCTGTGTCGTCCGTGTTTGTCTGTCCGAGTCCGTCCGCCTTTTGTCCGTCCGTTGCCTTATTGAGTCATTCTCCTTTCCATTAATTCTTTCCTCTTTCATTTCTTTTGATTATGCCACAGGCAAATATAATGGAATTGAACAAGTAGGAAAATGCTGACCATTCTGTCATATCAAGGAAGGAAAAAAGTAATAGAAAAAGTGATGAAAAAAAACGATTATCGACCTCCTTTCATATAGTGCCAAATTTTCTTTTTTCCTTAACGTTAGCGCCGCATGCGAAAATGTTGAGAGTTTCAGAAGGCCAAGATGCTAGATTTCCTCTTTTTTAGCACCGCAGGCTAAAAAACCAAAAAAGTCTATTTATAAGTACGCACTTACAAATAATTGTATTTTCAATTTCGTAAGTAAAAATTAAATTATTAAATTTAATAAAGTCTGTACTTCCAAAATAAATACCAGTCAGGGCTCTGAATTAACTTTTTTTTAATTTAAACTTTACAGCTAAAATTCCATTATACCTCTATCCATTTTTGCACACAACTAATGATTCTCGTCCATTCGAATATCTCAGATTAACATCTCTTGGAGTTCTTGGAGCGCTTGTAAAAACCGACGAAAAAGACGTGAGTTTATGGGCGAAGACTTGATAATTTTAAATTTTATTTTAAAGGTTGTCAAATTTTTACTTTCTACTGAAATAATTCCCTTATGTTTGAGAATTATGGAACAAGGGACAGAATTATCACGAACTGTCGCTACGTTTATTTTGCAGGTTTTTTTAGTTTAGGGAAAAATGAGAAATTAATATTTTTAATTAAGAAAGTTCTTTTGGATGACATTGGTCTCGCCTATGTTTGCCAAACATATGAACGGTTTTCTCATGTAGCTATGGTTTTGGTTGGTTGATAAAAATTTTAAAACTTATTAAAAATTTTAAAGGGAAAGATGGTGCTTCAACTTTCTAAAGAACCTTCGAGTCGGCTCCTGAAGCATTTGATTCGTTGCTATCATCGTCTGTCTGAGAACGCTCGTGCCTTGCAAGCATTGACACAATGCCTGCCTGACCAGCTTAAAGACGAAACATTCAAGACTTTGTTAGATCAAGACCGGCCTACTAAACACTGGTGGAAAATGTTAATGAAGAATTTGAGTAAGTTCTTTGGGGGCATAAATAAATTCTGAGTAAGCAAATTTCTCCAATTTTCAGATATTCCAGTAGAAGAAAAATAGAAAGTACTCAAGAGACTTCTAGCGACAAAACCCGATATTTAACTGCATTCGACGATAGTGGTATTGTTCCCAGTTTTCTTTGTGTGCTTTTTAATTACGTGTTTGTGTTATTCTATTTAAAAATGACTCTCTCTCTCTATGTCACTATTTAAATTATATAAATACTATCGTTACATATTCTCAACAGGTCAAAAATGAGCCTCTCAATTGTAAATTGTTTTTAATATAAAACTTGTGGATAAATATTTGATTATTTAAATAACTGAAAATGTTAAAAGCCCTAATATAAGCCTCGAGTAAGGGTATCTGGAATTACTATAAATTTAAATAAGATAACGTGATGTTTCCGTTACACGGGAACCGGGATATCTAAAAGTTTTTTGTCTTGAACATTATATATTTTAGAGCTTTTTCCACTGCTTAGACAATGTCGAAACTACTTATACAAGATATTTTGTGGAGCAAATAAAAAGGATTTTTTCAGAATGTCATTTATTTCAGAATATCATATACATTCATTAAATTTGTGCTAAACAAAATAAATGATAGCAAATTTTAAAGTGTCTGAATCAGTGCTCGGAAATTTCGATTTAGCTCGTACTTGCACTTCAACTACCCCTAATTTTGGCCTCTAGTCATCGTAATATTTACATTTGCTCGTCCAAGCACTGGTCCAAATAGTCTAATAATCACCGCATACTTGAAGAAAGCATACTCGCTGTTTCACTTCCTCCGACAGTTGTAACAAGAGAAAATTGCTCCAAAAATAGAGAGGGAAACCAGAATTGTATTGGATCGGTTTGTTCATCAACCCAAGCTCTTCCATCTTTAACTTGTCTGTCAAGAACCCTTCCAATTCTTTGTGTATCCCATCTAAATTGATCACAGATTAATTCTTGACTGACATAACCGCCCGTTTCTTCTGCCAATTGTAAAACTCTTGCATCGTCCATACTTAACTCCCCAGGCACACTTTGTACAAGAAAACGATCACCACCAAGTGCAATAAGTTCAAAACCATGCCCTAATACTTTTAATTTTTTAACAGCACGCATCACATCATCACTATAATAAAATTAAAAATTAATTTGAAGTTTAAAATTAATTACTGAGAGATTGATTCTTTTCGAGTTTTTGAACGAGAACGCATCAATCTATTACGTAATTCGTCAACTGTAATTAATCCACCATTCTCTTGACTTGTTGACATACAAACTAAAAGAATGTTTGGATATTTTTTAGTTTTAAGAAAACAATCAAAAGTAAACCTTCAATAATTTGAATAGCAAGTTCATAATAAAAACTTCCAAAGCCTAACTTCTCTGTCCAAAATCCTTTGCTTGCTGAAAAATTTATTTGAATGTTAAATTTTATTTAAATGTTTGTTTACATGCCAAAGGGTCAACACCAACAGTCGTACACATTTCTTGAAAGTAGCGTCTAAATTGTGCATTTTTTGTTATTTCATCACGGTGTTTTGAAGCAAATTCTTCCAACTTTCCAGTAAATACATCCAATTGTTGAGAAAAGTGTTGAAGTTGTTCACTTGCCAATTGTTCACCTTTTGCTTGAAACTTAGCCTAAAATATATTAAAAATTAGTTTTTAATTATAAATTTTAAAAACTTGAATGTCTTGCTTCTTTTGAACAGCTCCAACACCTATTGCACGTCTACGTGAAGCCATAAAAACAAGAAAAGTTTAGGAGTTAAGACTCGGCTGGTTTCAAAATTTTCTTTATAACGATGAAAGTAAAAAAACTTGAAGAAAAAGGGTTTTCTAACGTGTACAAAAATTCACTATAATGAATCAGACTTGGTAATTGATACGGATCAGATAATTTCAAAATGCCTGCGGATATCCGCATGTATCCGCAGTAAATATCCGGACACGGATACAAAAATCCATGTCCATTAGCAAGTCTGCAACGAATCATCCTACTCTGAAAAGGTTACTCTGAAACATCCCTTACCCAATTGAATTCCGCCGATTCAGAATTCTTTATCTATAAAGTTTTTTTCGTACAGATTTATTTTCTGATTTTTTATTTTACCTACAAGACGCAGAAGCTCAACGGTACAAAAAGCATGGCTAGCATGGGAATTGGTCTACCGGTGAGCGAGACACTCGTCGATGACATCCCTGAAAGTCAGGTTAGCGTTGGTTTATTTTTTAATAGTTGATGATCAAAACATATTTTCAGATACAGCTCAATCAGCAGCAATCTGAATGTAGAGTTCAAATAGCAGACGAGAACATAGAAAGAAAACGCGAGGAAATACAAAATGGAGACAAAGCGACGGATGAACTTAATATTCTGTGTATAAAAACAGCAAAACGGGAGGTTGGACTTTAATGTTTATTAAATTTAGTTTATTTTCAAGAAACCCTCACGTCCAGAAACTGAGCCGAAGTCTGTTGTTGATTCAATGCCGTCCTCTTCTATTGGCGGGCGAGAAGGTGACGCCCTCAAGCGTTTGAATGATAGGACGGTTTCTAAAATCCAAGGTTTGTTTTCTCATTATTTCATAGAATTCATATCAAAATTAGAGCGTATTTAAGAGCTTGGTAAATGTATTTAATCAGTTACTGAGTGTCATAAATACGCAAAATTGATGCAAATATTTTAGCTATATTGATAAGTATTTACATATTTTGCTTATACACTTTAAATGTTTGCAACAAATTCTTATTATATTACCTTGTTTTTAATAGTTTACTTTATCCTCCCCCCTTTTCCTTAAGAATATACATAATGGTCAGATTTTATTCCTTCTCAAGGAAGAAAATCTTTCGGGAATAGAAAGCCTTACTCGCCTAGACCCAGAATTAAAATTTCTTTTTAATTAGATAATAAATTGTCAATGCCAAAAACGCCAGATCACTATTGGGATCTCGACTTTCCTTCTTTAAATGAACAATTAGAACGTGGTTATATAATTCACACAAATTCACCTCTTTTTAAAAAACAATGTAATCGGCCTAAACGATGTCTTTTTAGAGAATGAAAATAAAACTATTTTGATGAATATATTCCTCTCTACTTACTTGAATTTTGTTTGTATTATTCGTTTATTTTTGAGGTTTTTGTCTGAAAGTTTGTTTTTGTTTTAGAAAATCTAATTTATTTTGCTTTTTAATTTATTTTGAATTTATAAATTGGTATTAAATATTTTAAAATTTATTATATTTAAATTTATTTTTTTAATTAATAAAATATCTAGTTTTGGCCTATTCTTAAATTAAAAAATATTTTTTTAGATTTGTTAGAATGGAATCTTTGGAAAATTTGAAATCATCTTTTGATCAAGATGTAGAAAAAATGAGACAATTGGAGAGAGGTTATTATATTTTGTATTTTAAAAGTTTTGATATTTTAGACAGAACTCGGTGTATTACAAATAGGAAGCAATTGGAGAGTCAGATGACTGAAAATAGAATGGTTAAAGAGGAGTTGGATCGTCTTGAGGAGGGCGCTGAAGTCTTCAAATTAATTGGTCCTGTACTTGTTAAACAAGAATTGGGGGAGGCAAAAGAAAATGTTCAGAAACGAATTGATTATATACAAAAAGAAATGTGAGTTATTTTATGAGGACCTATGAATGTTGAGAATTTTTGAATTTGTTTGGGCTCCTTCGCTGGCTATTTTGAGCTTTTTTGCTGATCTATCCTATATCATTTGAGACAGCTCTTTAGGCCGGGTCAAATGATACCATTTTCGGTTAGTTTTGTCGATTCTGAACCAAATTATAAAGCTGAATCCTCACATCTGAATAATTTATTAAGAACATTTTTGAGGACCTCTTACCTTAAAAATAGAAATAATCTTATTAAATATTTTGCAGTGAACGGACTGAATTAACTCTGACTGAAGCGGCTAAAAATATAGAAGATCATAAAGAGTTAATTGAAAAGACAAGAAATAAATTAAGGCAAGCGATTGAAAAAAATGCTGCGTAAATTTGTTAATTTTTGAAATATTTTTTGTTTTGTAATTTTTATTAGAAACAAAATAAATTACTAAATTAATACAAAAATATTTTATAATTTATTTCTAAAATTAAATTAATTGGATAATCTTTTTTTCCGTTAACTTATTTGAAATTAGTCATGAGGGGACTAATTCCTGTTTTCAAATATTAAATTTTGAAAACAGGAAAAATTAAAATTATTCGAAAAGTTATTAACAATTGACCCTTCCAAAATGGATTTATTTCAAATTATCTCTATGTTATTTTAATTTAAAAAATATATTTTTAGAAGAATATCCAAATATTTTTAAAAGAAAAGACAAAATTTCGGCTGGGTTTTTCATTTAAAATAAAATTTATTGTCAAACTAAACGTGCTCGCCGTTGAACAATTCCACCAATTAAACCAACAGCCCCACTCCTATTACCAATTGAAGGAGTCTAAAAAAGGGGAATTAAATATATTTTATTTAAATTCTGACCGCTCCCGATTTAACAAATTCCTCTTCAAATTTAGCCATAACAATTGCACGAAACATTTCATAACAATGACCCTTTTTAGATAAATAATTTTTTTTTATTTTTTCTGTTTAAATTACTTTCCATTCCTGTATTCTTTTACGAAAATCACCAACAACACAAATTTGGTTAAATATTCTAGTAACAAATGCTGAACATTTTGGACAAGAACCATCAAAACAATGAAAAGCACATTTATGCCTAAAAACAAAAAAATATTTAAAAAATTTATAAATATTTTTTACCTCAAACAATAACTAATTTTAGTTAAATCTTGATTAGATTCTTTTACACATTCTCCGGCACAATTAACAAGTATAGCACATTCGCCTTTAATATTTTTATTAATTGAATAATTATAAATGCTAACCATCATTAGCCCTTCTATTTCCCGAAAGAACATCAACTAACTAAAATATAAAATAATTTTTATTTTAAAGATAACAGAAAGATGTATAATTTTATAGTTTTTTTAATGTTTCGGGATAAATATCTCTCTGAATTTGAAAATAACTACATACATGTATTATGTAGTATATAAGACATACTTTTATAAACGTATATATCAGGGATTCTAACGACAAAAGATAATTTCCCGATTTTTGGGAATAAGAACAGTAATATGCCCTTGGTATTTACTACTACAAACCTGTTGTTTGCTTGTCATACAAAGAGGGCATTTATTACACCTTTTAAATATTTTTATTTTTAAATTTTTATTTCTACTTACTCTTCCATACATCCAGATGTAAATATACATCCATAATCTATATTTTTATCTAATTCATTGTAAAGATTTTTTCCAATAGTTGCATTTTCAAAAGAACTTTGTAAACTATCTAATTGAACACAACTATGTACATATTATTTTTTTTTAATAATTTTTTGGAAGAAATTTTTTAATTACCGATTTTTCACTGTACAAGTAAAGAGATCCTTTTAAAAAAAAGAAAAATTAAAAAATTTGTTTTTTGAATACCTTGCACATAATATTTAATTTAATTGCTCCGTCAGAAATTCCAAAAATTGAATTAATTAATATTAATTTAATAAATATTAAAGATTTTAATAAATTATTTCTCTTCCTTTTTTCTCTTGGCATTTTTAATTTAATTAATATTTTTCTTAGACAAATTTCTGAGACAGCAATCATTTTAATTAAATAATTATGTAGAAAAAATTAAATTAAAAAAAATTATGTATTTTTAACACAAAATCCACAGAATTTGTGTTCACAGAATTTTTATATTTTTAAAATGCTTGAGTGAATATTTATTATTTTGGGGAGAGAAAGAGAAGTTGTGCTTTTTTCTGTTTATTCTCGTCCTCTTTAGTATGTAATCTTCGGCTTAATATAAAAAATCAAACAGCCAAATTTAAAAACACGCAACAAGAATAAAATGAAGAGCCTAAAACAAGCCAAAAAAGAAAGGAAAAGATTAGAGATGAGAGAACAGCCTGGGGCGGATCTACGATTAAATCGAGCGTTGTAGCGGAAAAAATAAATATTTTTGGATTGTGAAGGTATTAGAAAAGTAGCAGAAGAGTGGAACAAAATAATAACAATTAATAATGGATTTGATAAGAAAAAAGAGAGAGAGGGAGAGGAGATTTTGATGTTGTTGGTGAATAAAAAACATCCAAAAATGGCTGAAGAAAAAATTAAAAATATATTTATCTTCCTTTCACTAAACAACCGGTCCATTCCCCCCTTTTTAATAAAAAAAAGATACATAAAAACAAAATAGCACAGAAAATCTTAAAATAAAGTCCAACCAAAAAAAGATTATAAAAGATTAGATTTAAATTCCCTTTGGTATAATGTATGAACGAAATTTTGGAATATTTTTGATAAAAATTTTTTAGAAAATTTAAATGATAATTTTGTATTCAAATTTAAAAATTTTTTTAATAAATATTTTTTAAATTTTTAACATAAAAATATTTTAAATATGTATATTTTTGTTAAAAATATTATTTCTTTTTTTAATTCACAGGTTTTGATAACTAATTGACATTTCTTGATTTTCTTGATGTTGAATAGTAAATGAGGAGGAGGAGGAAGAAGAAAAATTATTATTAATTTGTTGACAATTAATAATTGAATTTGTTTCATTATTAGATGTCGGCAATATTGAATTATTATTTGAATTATTATTTTGAATGCCAAATGATGTTACAAATCTTTAAATAAAATTGTTAAATATTATATGTTATCAAATCTGACTGATCTAGTTATTACTTTATTTGCTCTCTCTTAAACCCCAAAATGTTAGTCAACTAGATCCTCCCTTTCTTGCAATATTTCCATCAGAATTTAATATTATGTATTATCAACCATCTTTTAATTTAATATTTATTTAATACCTTCTAGGATCTACTCCTCTTCCATTTCCTCCATTTCCGTAGGCTATACCCATCCAAGCTGCTGCTATTCCCCCACCGTTTCCCAACATTGTTTGATTTATATTTTGATGAAAATTATTTAAAATTTTGGGATTTATAATAATATTATTATCATTTATTCCTTCTCTGGTTTGGAAAGATGTGGAGAGAGAAGAAGAAGGGGTATAAACTTAAAAAAAGAATAATTAAAAATAATATTTTTAAAAATATTTTTGCAGAATCACGGTTTATTTTAATATTTAATTATTTTAAATTTCCACCCCCCCCCCTCCCCCTCCAAAATTACCTGAATTATTTATTGTTTTTAATAAATATTTTTCTTCAATTTTATTATTTTCTAATATAATTCGATTATTATTTAATAATATTCCTTCCTCTTCTTTTTCTTCTTTTTTTGTTTTTTTATTAAATATATTTGTTGTTGGATTAATTAAAGAATTTGAAATTTGTTGTTCATCTTCAGCTGCAGAAGTATCTCCATTAATAAAAGTAAATACCTCTTCTTCATCTCTGTCAACAGAATGGGAAAGAGGAGCTTGTCCATCTCTATTTGAAATTTATTTTATTCAAAATTTTTCTTTATGTTGGCTTTGAAATTCAGAGAGATTTATTTTTGGAGGGGTTTTTCTGACTGAGAAATATATATTAACTAGGATAGATATGAAATGAAAATATGGGTGTTAAAAGTTCCAAGCGCAGAAACTCTAAAATTCTTACAAATTTGTTGTTTACTTCTTGGAGCATTCTTTCTATTAAATCTTTTTAAACTTTTACCTAGACCCTCCAGCAGCTCTATCTCTTTGCCTTCTATTTTTAAACCAATTAGATACTTGTGTTTGGGTTAATGAAGTTCTTTCGGCCAATTCTTTTTTAGCTTTCGGTGATGGATAAGGATTTTCTCGATAAGATAAACGAAGAATTGCTCGAGAACTTTCCTTTAAAAAGTTTTTTAAAAGAATCTTTCTTTCTCCAAAATTTACCCTAAAACAATAACTAGTTTCTTCTCCATCCCAAATAGTTCTTGGCAACGGAAATTTCCTTCGAATTCGATATTTACTTACAGCCCCCAAAGTTTCCTGAAATACTGAATATACTAAAATAATTAAAAATTTATATTTAACACACCTCACGGCCACGAATTTTCTCCGCCTTTTAAAATAAATTATTTAAGTAAATATATATTTATTTACCTCACAATAATGTGCTTTCATCCAAAGGTCCTAAACAAGAAAATTATTTTTTCTAATTTAATTTAGAGAGATTGAAAGTTAATTCAAGGGTTTATTTTATCACAGTCAGACCTCACAAATGTTAACACCCACGCTAACACTTCCCAATTTGGTGGGCATTTTTTCAGTCCCAAGCTAAGTAATTGAGTTCCTCCCTTTTTTCTGTTTCTTTAAACAATATTTAATTTATTTTAAATTTTGCCTGTAATTCAGGGTGATGTATAGGAGAAAAATTATGTGATTGTAATATTGTATACAATTCTTTAAAATTATGTTTATGAAAAGAAATAAAAGCTTGTGCTTTTAAAACACTTTCACTATAACGATATTCTTCTATTGGTGGAATTGTCCATAAAAATCTTGCCTTAAATTAAAAAAAAACATTTTTTTGTTTAAAATTTAAAATACCAAATTGTCTATTAAATTATGTCTTTGCATAACTTCACATAAAAAATTAACTTGTTCGACAGAATATATAAAATCAGAATAAAAACTGAAATTTTAAGTTTAAAAATGTAAAAATTTTTAAAATAATTTTTTAAAACTCCAAATTTAAAATTTTTTAAAATTAAACTTTCATTCCAATGTTAAAATAATTAATTTAAAATTTACTAATTTTTACTTTTATTTCCAAAAATATTTAATTAATTAAATTTAAAAAATATAATAATCCTTTCTTTTACACACCTTTGTTGGCAATAATTCTGTTGGGCAATAGCCATTTTCTACTCTTTTCTTGTTTAAAATAGTTCAGCTCCGATTTCGAGACGGTGTCAAGTTGTAAGTATCGTCTCAATTTGAAGTGTCACAGAAAAAAGAAAAATGAGTAAAAAGTATTTTTAAGAAAGAGATGATTATTCTTTTTTTTCTTTCTTTGGATTAAAAAAAGAATATCGAAGCTCAGGTTGCTTTCAAAGTAAAAAAGAATATATTAAAAATAAAAAGCATTGGATTCCTTCGAAGATATATAGTAGTCGATTTGGTGTAATTTCTCGCGCAAATTTCTGAATTTGAGGGAAAATGATGGAAAATAAAAGGTTTTGAGAAAGCCAAGTCTGTTAGCTTTTTAGTTGTTTGGAAGTATTTGTTCATGAGAAATTCAATCCACAAAATGCGCCAAAGGGGATTGAATGGGCAAAAAGAAAATAAAAAAAGCTCTTGGATAAAAGAAAAGCCTTAGAATTAACGGAAAGGGCGGTGCTTTTTGTGGATAACAAAAAGAAGAAGCATTTGGCTTTTTTAAAAGAAATGAAAAATAGAGGGGTAAAGTAAAGAATTTTTTTGTTTGAAAGCGGCGAATAACCGAAGGGATATAATATTTCATCTTTTTTTACTTTCCTCTCACTCTTAAGCTAAGAAACAGGAATACGGTTGTTTTGTTGTCTTTATTTTTCTTTCATATTTTCACCTCTGTATATTATTTTTTTAAAGAATTTTTATTCTAAATACAAAAGTTTCGATTTAAGTTGCTGATACCAAAACTTTATTAAAAAACACTTTTGCTCGTGCATTATTACTTTTTGTTTTTATCCAGTAGGTTGTTTTAATAGTATTTTTTAAAAAAATTATGCACATATTTCTTAATATATAAATTCAAAAAATCGTCTTAGACCTCTTGATCTGGAACTTTCTAGTTTTAATTTTCTAGTTTATACCAGGGATGCCACGGGTTGAGAAAACTTTCTTCGGATCGAGTTTCGGATCGAGAAAAGTCTCGGGTCGGTTTCGGGTGGTGTCAATTAAGAATTTGAACTAACTCCCATGATTTCTAACTTAACTATACTATACCCATTCCTAACCCCTTGATGATAACTTTCCAAATAATTTTTATCCCAAATATCCCTCCAAATCTCTGACATTTCCCCAAATCCAACTTAATCACAATATTCACCGATATTCTTCTATCGCTTGAAATACACCGATACCTCTTCAAAATTTTTGATCCCTAAATATCATGCCCAAATTGCGACATTTACTTTATTGTAAACACAGATTTACTGTTTGGACAATCGAAAATTTTGAGAGATTCTACCCTGCATTTGTGTTGCAGGCTGATTTTGGGCGCATTTGGGTTGCAGGCCTTAAAGTATTTCATTAATTAAAGTATTTGAGAGATGGTAATTAATATACGATATTCAAATTTCTCATCTTTATTATAATAAAATATAATTTTATTTATTTGTTCTTAAACTTCCATCCAAATAAGCTACTAAAAATATTTTGAAGCACTTAATCATATCTTATTTGTTTGCTTGTCCAAATATTTGTTTTATTTCTTCTTCACACAAAGATGATGAAGTTTGTTAGCTAACTACTAATGTTTTACATAAAACTAACAAAAAAGTAGAGAGAGAATGGGGTGGAGAAGAGGAAAAACCCAGCAGGTGTTGATGCACTCTCTTAACCTTTTTTTAAAAAGAAGCTAAAAAGTTTAATTATAAAAATGACAGAAATAATATTTTTAAATAAAAATTTATATTTTTTGATTAAAAAACTATTTTATAACCATATTTATTTAATGTTCAAGACTTGTAGTATTTGTATTAATTTTTCATTTTATAATAACAAATACTTTATTTTCTTCTATTAAATGATCTCGGTCTACTATACATATTTACTATTTATTTTCCAATTGTCAGTATTTTTTCACGCTCATTTAATGGTAGCTTCTTTTTAAAAATTTAACAGTTATCTTTTAAATATTTAACCTTGTTGGCCACAATAAAGGAAGAGCTTGTCTAACAAAGGAACATCAACCAATGTTACTTTTATTTTAAATTTAGGATAAATATTGTTTGAAATTAGTAATTAAAAACTAAATATATTCTAAATTTAACATTTAAATATTCTCTAATTTAAAAATAAAATTATTTAATATATTTTTCTCACAATTTTATTACTTAAATATATTTATTTAAAATCCTTTAACTTTTCAAAAATATTTTTTAAAAACATTTTCATTAATTACTTTTCACTTTTATAAATAAAATCCCAAATAAACAAAAATTATTTATTTATTTATTTCTCTCCCAATTCTTCTTCTCTTTCTTTTTTTTTAATCGGCGGTATTTTTTTTTTAAATTCCTTCAAATCGTTTATTGGCCTTTTTTCTTCTTCGCCGCAAATAATCATTTTCAACAAAACTTTAAATGATGACCAGAAGTATTTAAAAATAAATAAAGGGAAGAATAATTAAAGTATTTATTTTAAATATATAAATTTATTTTAGACTAATTTAAAATTAAAATTTATTAAAAAATTCAATATAAATAATAATTATCCTTTTCGTTTATCATTTACTGATTGCCTTCCTTCACTTTCAGCATAATCACTACAACAATTACATTCTTCAGTTATTTTTTCATTTTTTAATTGTTTACTTTCTCTAAAATTTCTGTTTAAATTAATTTTAAATTTCCGAACCGAATATTTTGTCTAGCTCTTTGTCTCTGATTTTTAAACCAATTAGATACTTGTAAAACACTTAATTCTGTTTGTTTTGCCAATTCTTGTTTTGTTTGAATATTTGGTATTGAATCTATTTTGTATGCCTGTTTAAGTATTTCCCTCGCTTTTTTCTAATTAAAAAAAATTAATTTTTTAATTCAAATAATTTACTTTAAAACAATAACTAGTTCCTTCACCATCCCAAATACTCGAAGGGAAAATATTCTTTTTACGAATACGATAACGTGACACAGCATCAAGGGGTTTAGTACGTTGTTTTGAAGCCTAAAATTGTTAAAGAAATAATTATTTATTTAAGTTATTTAAATTATTTAACCCTTTCTTTAAATTTTTTAAATTTTAAAAATATTTTTAAGTAATTTTTAAAATTATTTTAAGACAAATTTTTCTGTTTAAATTTTTAATAACCTCTGCATAATTAGCTTCATTCCACAAATTTTGCAATAAATTATGATCTTTTTGTTTAAATTTATTTAATTTTATATATTCTTTAAATTCTTCATATCGACCTTGATGAAATAATAAAACAGCCTTAACTCGAAGTAAAACACTCTTGGCTAAACCTTTTTCGGGAACTGTTGGAGGGAGTAAATTAAGTAGTAATTCCTAAAAGAAAATATTTAAATAAAAAATATTTTTAAATAGAAAAAACTAACTAAACCCCGGAAATTCTCAAAATTTTCTAGGGCTAAACAAAGGCACTCCAACTGGTCATCAGTCAATGAGCTTACATCCAAACTGTGACAAAATAAAAATTTATATAAAAATAAAATAAAGAGTGTTTGGAAAATTATTTAAAAAATGCCTTTGTAAAGGATTTTGTTGGTAAGGAGTTTCTGGTTGCTGCTGTATATGTTGTTGGCCATCATTTATAGGCATTAAATAATGTGAAGGAAATAAAGAACAGCAGGAGGAAGATGGGGAGGAGGAGGAAGAAGAATTTGATTGTATTGGGTGACAAGAAATTGAAAATGGAAATTGTAGCATTTTAAAATTAAAAATTAACTAAATTAGGTATATTAGACTATAAAGTGTTTATATTCATATAACTGATATTTGATAATTTTTATTGTAAGATTAACAAAAATATTGAAATAATAATAGAAAAAACTTTAATTATTACAAATCATTAAACTGTAACCAATCAAATAAAATATTTTTATTTCAATTAATATATTACATGAGGGGGGGGGGGGAATGTTTATTTTATTTATTTTCAAGAGAAAATCCAAAAAGTAGCGACGGAAGGCAATGAATGTGAGTGTTTACCCCGAAGGGTTTGGGCCAACGTTCAGAGGGGAAGGGGTTAAATGATGGAAAAAAATAAAGAGATTTGCTGCCGTTAATGATGATGATGACCGTCTATTTTTTCTCCATAACCAGTGGCAGGCGTGCCGTTGTTCTTTTCTTTCCTCTCTCAAACAACAAAAAGCTATTCAACAAAACCGATTACGAAATTCTTAACAAAAGTTTTGAGCAAATACATATATCATTTTTAAATATAATGAATGTATACATACTAGTACATACTTCACATTTATTTTAGTTAATTTAACAAAAAATTATATTATTTTTAATCTTTTTTAAGAAATTAAGATTGGAGTTTAGCTTTAATTCGTGGTATCTTCGCAATCACTTCAGAACCTATGGCCTGGGGTATTTGTTAAAGCCTTGGCTTATTCAATAAAAATGTAGCATCATCTAACAAGGTGTTTCCTGGATCTGCAGTAAATTATAAAAAGCCGTTAAAAAGCGTCAGTTAAGATAAAGATTATATATCCGTTTCAAAATGAGGAATTCATCATAAGTTATCATTTTTTGAATGAATACTTAATTTTTATTTTAAATAGAAGAATTGACAAAAAATAAGCTAATTAACTGAAAATAGTCAAATTTTAAGAAAAATCTTTAAGAACCTAAAACAAGTCCAAAAAGGTCATAATAAGTTCAAAGTAGGTTTTAGGTTCAAAAAAGCCGAAATAGGCTTTTAAGGAAATAGGCATTTATATATTTAAGGAAATACGCACGGAATAGGCATTTATACAGTAGAATTTTAGGGTCAAACCTAAAAAAGAAAATTTTTATCTTATTGTCCTCTCTCATCCTTCAATAAGTAAAGATCCCTTCGAATGTGCAAGCTGTGCAAACATTGAGGACCGCTCCCGTTGCAAAAATGTTTCAAGGCACAAATTTGGCCATTCCCATGACTAGCTTGAACAAAAATTGAAAAAAAAGTCATGCAAAAATGTGCAAACAAATTTTTAAGTCATTCAAATCGAGAGAAAAAAAATATTATTTAGTAATTTATTTTTATAAATAAAATAGATATATGTACATATAAGGAAAATTGAAAGAGATAACAAATAAAAATTAAAAAATAAATAAAATTAAATTTTTTTTATGCATAACGAAGTAAAAATTTATTAGAGGGTAAATTTTGTTTTGAGTCAGTTGCTTTAATATACTTAAATTCAAAATTTGTAATTTACAATCCTGATTTCATGAAAAATATAAACTTTAGAAATTGGATTAGGAACTTGAACCTGGGAATTTTATTTAATTTTTACACCATTGACAAAAAGGAACGGAACTGTTTCCTAAAAGGAATTTTTAACTGAGAAAATCAGTAATTTGCACTTAACTTAATCCTGTCTCATTTTATTGTCCACTACTGTATTTACTTAAAATTTCAAAGGAGATTTATTTTAAATTGTAAATTTGCGCATTTTTGGCATAAAGTATTTTAGCGAAAAGTCGTAAAAGGAAAATCCTTTGATCAATAATTTTGTTTATTTATGTTTACCTAAAATTTTTATTTTTTTTAGCTGAATACAAAAAGTTTATGAAGACAACACTGTGTAACGATTATTTTCCTCGACGTCTACGGCCTAATTTCTCATTGAGTGGTTGTTTCTGATTTTAATTATTTTAAATAATTTTGTTTTTTAGGTGTTCCAATTCCAAAGGAATTAAAAAGAGATCATGGATTTGCGCATCTTCCAAATAAATTTAACATTTTAATGACTTTGTTTAATGAAACTGAAAAGGTTTTTTTTAGTTTTTATCGAAATTTTATTGCATAAATGCTTGTTTTAAAGATTCTTCAGGCTGCTCATGGACGTGATCAACGTAAAACTTTTGATGAATTATCTGCAAATGTTGAGAAAAATACCAAAAAGTATTTTAAATTGTTAATATGGAAGTTGTTTTTTCAGAAAATTCACAGAAAAACATTTGGCACAAATTGTTTCTTTATATCCAACAGCTTATACACTTCGTTGGGAACGTGCAAGGGACAGACGTGCAATTCAATTAGGTCTTTGGGAATTAGTTATACAGCCAAATTTGATTGGAAATAAAGGTTTAAATTGAATATTTTTAAAAGATTTTTAAAATTATTTTAAAGATTTATCTCCATTTGTGGACAGTTTTTTGGCTTCAATTTCTTCACTTCCAAATACCCCACTTTTAAATAGCCCAAATAAATTTGGAGAAGAGGATAATAATAAATGGGCTATGCCAAATAGTGTGTCTTCTTCACCTAATAAACGTCCTCCTTCACTTACTCCCGTCAAATTAATTTCACCACTTAAAAGTCCAGCAAGAAAAGATTGCAATATTTTCTCGCCAAAAAAGCCGAGAAATGCTGTTATTTTTAGGTTTTCTTTTAAATTAATTTTAATTATTTAATATTCCTTATTTAGTTCTCCAATTCCTGATACACGTGTTAAAATGGATGCAAATCGATTAAAATGGAGAAAATTGATTTTTCGTCATTCGCTAGTTGGAAAAGTACGAGAGGCACATTCAAAATTTTTAGAAGAAAAAAAATGTTTTTTTTTTAATTTTTATTAAAAATTAAAAAAGAAATTTTTAGTTGAATTTGATGATAATCAGAATTTACATCCAGAATTTAAAAAGTCGATAAATGAATTAGTTGGTGATGTTTTGACAGACGGGGCTATTCCAAGCCGTCCAAAATCTTGTGGAGCAAATTTACAAACAACTGATATTCGAATGTTTCTTAAGGTTTTTAAAAATATTTTGGCATTAGTAAAGTTTCGGTGTTTTCTGCTAACATTTTATTGAAAAATTTTTTTAATATTAAGGTCTTTTACTCATTTATAATATATTTCCCTTAGATTGTTTTTGAGATTTGTTTTGAATTTGGAACAAATAGGGGTAGGAGTATGACAAAACCCTTTAAAATTTAATTAACCAGATAAAAGTTTCGAAAATCTTTAACATACCTCAAAGTGCTTCACTAAACAAAAACATTTGTGATACTGAAATGAGTAAAGAAAAATAAGAAATTCTCAGTATAAAAATTACCGCAGAAAATACCTTTTTACATGTGTTAATGTTTTTTAGTAAATAATATTTTTCTTTTTAGAGTGTTAAACAAGAAACAAAAATTGAAAGAGAGAAAACGCCTGAACGGCCGAATCAAGAACAAAAAATTGAAGGGCCTCCAACTCTTTTAAAAAAACTTGCAGTTTCTTCAGCCCCACAAACACCTAAACAATGTGATGATTCTAAATCACTCCCTCCAATGACTCCAATACAAGAAAGGGTTTTTATAATTAAATTTTTTTTTAAATTAAAAATTGTAATAGTTGAGAGCAAAATTTACTGCAAATGAAAAGGCTCAGAAAGGGGGACTGTCAATAATGGAGAAACGCCGGGCTTTACTTAATCGACTTGACAAATCTATTTTAGAGGTATATATTTAATATTTTATATGTTATTTCTTTAAAAAAGGTGATTAGAGCACATTTAAATTTGGAACAAAGATTTAGTGTTGGTTTATCTGAGAAAAGTTTATTGCAAAAACTTGGCAAAGAAATTACATCAGGTATTTATTTTGAATTTTTAATTAGTTATTGAGAATTTGGGGATTGGTCAAAATCAAAATTTTAACTTGTATCTTGATTTTATCGAAAATCGTACTTGCACAATTCTTTGCCCTTACTTTCTAAGAAACTTTCATTTGAGTGCAAACCATGTAGCTTTCGAATTTTATCAATTAACAAATAATTTTTAAAGCCTCTCTACTCGAACATTTACAACTTGTTTGCGATTTAATCCCTCAAGAGGAACCAAAAATTTGTTGGCTTGAAACTTTAATCTCAACGGAAAATGACCAAAAGAAGGAATCAAATTATTTCAAAATTTCTCAAGAATTAGGTCCAGAATGGGTAAATATAGCTTTTGATGTTGTGAAAAAGGAATTGGGATTAATTGAAATGAAAATGCGGGCATTACGTCGATCGCCATCTTCTTGCTTTTAATTTTTGGAGATTATTATTTTTGGATTTTGAAAAGTGCCAATTAATTTATTTTTTTATTCTTAAATGAATCTGTCGCTACTTTACTAACTAGAATGCATAAAATTTGAACGCTTGAAATATTATAGCTCATTCTAAAAAGATCACAGGGCTTACAAATAGTCGAAAATGGCTGAAGTAATCGTTATTTGAAGGAATCTGAGGACAAATTTGCTAGAAATCTGGCGTATAGCCCTTCCAAAATTCTCAGAATTTTCGCCTGCGGCTCTAAAAATAGAATCCCTGCTTATACCAACTCATTGTCAATCAGAAAAACGTCAGCTCCGTATCTGGAGTCTCCTATTTTTGTGTGGCTGCGTCGTGCTTTAGTGTTTTGGAAAGGGTCACTGATGTACATACTATTTTTGACTAATCAGAGGTTTTATCA